TTATTATTTGTATTTTCTAGTGTTACATTTGTAATTATCACCAACAACAACCATCATCACTGAAATTCGATTATCTAAGATCCTCTCTTTCCGCCATTTCATCATCCCCTCTAATTCTTTGAGATCCTCTTAGATCTATCATTTCAAATGCTCTATTATATTCCAACGGTGACATGAATCATCAAAACCCTAGCGGCAATCGAGCTCACGTGCCACCGCATCGACTCCTTTTTGTTGTCGTCACCTTCGTCGTCACCGTCACCTTCGTCGTCACCTTCGCCTTCCTTCATTCCTTTGGAATTCGGTACACTCCCCTCTACTCTCCATCTCTTTCTTACCGAATTTCCAACTCCTCCTATGTTGGTTTTCTTTTTTGTCGGCGTCACCGCCTTTGCTGCCGTCGTTATCACCCCCGCTATTGACACCTTCCTCAACTCTCTCTCACTGTCTCCTTTGGTTATCTGTTCTCTCTTTGTTTCATTGTAACCTTAGATTTGGAATCCAGATCCAACAATGGAGGAAGGTTGGTTATATTTGGAATCTAGATCAAACTAATGTGGTTATTATTTGTTTGATTCTTTGAAGGTTGAGATTTTTATTTATTTATTTATTTATTTTAAAATTGGTTTGAAAGCTGAGATTGAGGAAAAAAAGAGGTTGAAATACCTCGATTGTTGGGATTGTTAGATTTGGATTTTTTTTTTTGGATCGTTTGGATTATTATTATTATTTTTTTAGATTGGTTTGAAGGCTGAGATTTAATTTTTTTTTTATTCTCTTGTTATTGTTGGATCTAGATTGTTAAATTTTGATTGTTTGGATTGTTGGACCTCAGATTATTTTTTTTTTTGTCAAACCTTAAATCATTGTTTGGTTGTATATATATTGTTGAAAATATGACAGATAGGACCTCTTGTGATGCAGATCTGTTAAAAAAATGACTCCAATATGTTCAAAATGACACAAACATTTCAACAGATAGGTTGAGATAAGTTCAAAAAAATTTGTTATTGTTAAACAGATATGTTCAAAATTTGAACAGATAGTGGTTTGGTGTATTTCAATAACAAAGATTTGAATAGATAAAAATCAACAAATAATTCAGGCAAAAAAAAAAAGGAATAGATAACAAAATTTGGACAGATAGATTTAAACAGATAAGAGAAAATATTGAACAAATAATAACATTTGAATAAATATTTGAACAAAAAAGAGAAAAAAAAATTGAACAAATAGTCAAAAAAAAAAACAGATAAAATAGTCAAAAAAATTAAACAGATAGATATGTGATAAAATTGAAAATAAAATATCTTCCAAAATAACAAAAAGATTTCTCATTAAATTATTTCACAAAAGGTGAACCTCTCAATAATAAAAAATTTCCATTGGACCTAGTGTATTATACCCTTTTTAGATTGAATTTTTTTAATAATTTTCTCAATTGTTTTTAAGGGTTTAAAATAGAGTAAAACTCATTTTTTAACAAAATTGGGTGAAAGAGTAGACATAAATTTTGAACATTAATACCAAAACTTAAATTTGGTATGAGTAGATAATAAGATATGGACATGTCCTACCAAATAGATTTTATTAACTGGATTAGTTTAGTTGACTATTCTTTTAACTCTTATACTCAATAATTACAGGAAATTTGACCATAGTGACAAAATAAATATTAAATTTTTAATTTTATTAATTTAATATATTTTTTTGATTTATTTTTAATTTCAACTATTTTTTTATATCAAAAAAATATTTTAATCATTAAACTTAATATAAATATACATAAAATATCTAAAATATTACTTTTTTCTATGAATTTAACGACTAAAATATCATTTTTTGTCAATTTTACATAACAAAAATTGACAAATAATTTAAATTGAAAACAAATATAGTAAAAAATCAAGATTTAAATTGACTAAATTAAAAGTTGAAGATTTATTTTGTTATAAAAGATTAAATCTTGAGTTTTTTAGTATTATTATTAAATTTTCTCTGATTATTTTGATATGGTGTATTTATTTATAAATTTGTCTTCACCTACTTATATTTCACGTAATCTAAATTATTTTCTTATGTTTCAATAAATCTTATGGGTGACATAGTTATCAAAATATTAATATTTACATTGACAGTATGAATGTTCTATGATGTGAACATTCACAATACCAATGTGAACCTTCACATTGCCATATTTATTTAATGTGAATGTCCAGGTTACCAAGTTGCTAATAGTTAAAAAAATATTTATAAAGATAAAATTATTCATAAAATATCTTCAAAATAATAATTAGGATTTAATAGATCTAATATTCAAAATAATAGAAATTATTATTCCCTCTACCCTATTTTTTGGTTCACCTTTTTATTTTCATCTGTTCCAAAATATTTATTCACTTTCTATTATAGAATATTAAATTTTGTTAAATTTCTAAAGTTACCCTTTATAAAATCTTGATAAACACATTGTAAAATTTAAATAGTAGAACAATAATTTAAAAAATATTTCAAAATTTAAATGAAAATATAATAACTATATATCTTCTTAATAAGTTAATAAGTTAAATTTTTGGGTGATGCACCAATAAATTATAAGATGAGAACTTATGAACTATTTAGTCCTGTGTTTATTTGTGCAGACCAATAAGTCCTATTATAGTGTGATTGACAAAAAAGGATACTAATAAGTATGGGGAGTTGTGGAATAATAAGGGGGTAAATCCGGTAGTTTGCTTATATGGAAATTACACATTTGGGGTTTCTTTTAAATGTTATTAATTGAATTTCAAATTACATGTTTGGAAAGATTCTATGGATATTTGTAACATTGATCAACACCGACATGGTTTTTGGTGCAATGTAAATGGGAATCGCTAGTTTCCGATGTCGATTTAACAAACCCAAGACCCCACGCATTTGTGAATTAGGATCCCCACACATTTGTGAATTAGGATCCCTAACATTGACCAAACCCTAAGGACGTTTGTCAAGCGTAGCATCAATTCACAAACGGTGTAAAAATTGGGGCGAAGGAGGATTTTTGACGGCGAGGATTAATGCATTTAACATCGGTTTTAGCCGTGAAGAGGTCATTCGATCATGAAGTTGGTGTTGAGTAAGAATGACAATGAGAAATGAAGGTATGTATCGCCGTCCTTCTATGTTTATTGAAATGTAATTTGGGGTTGTCATGTAACGCACGCCGTGCAACAATTAATAGTGTAATATGTGTGCATGTTCGGTTAGTGTAATGATGCATTATGTATCAGTAGTTTATGATATGCGAGCAGTACTAATATAATTTGTTGGTGGTGATATAGAATGTTAATAATATTTGTGGTAGTAAAACTGTAATGTTAATCGTATCGATGTTAAAGAAGAAAACAATATTAGTAATTGAAAATCATCCACCGTATATCACTCTATAAAAATCAAACACACAAAAATAGAAATATAAAACATTACCATCTTAATCCTTACACACAAATGAGTAAAAAAAATCTACCAAAATTATTACAAGGATAAATGTGTAGACTCCGCTCATATACCAAATCAAGAAAAATATTTTTTACCAATTAAATAGGACCAAATAATTCATAAAAAAAAACATAAAATTAAATAGATCATCATTCTCTAATTTGAGGTTTACTAATAATTTCTCCTAAATTGTTTATAATCAACAAATAAATTAAGACGGAAGAAATAGAATGCAAAAAAAATATCATATGAATTAATTGGGTAAGTTAATGATCAATGGCAAGTGGCAGGGAGGACCCCGTATTCGATTTTACAGATCACACGCACGCGCGGGATGCCCCTTTAAAGTCCACACCCACCCAGGCCCAGACACACTACCCAACTCTACCCAAACTAACAGTGTCTTCTTCCGGCAAATTATAAAATATTTAGGTCTTGTTTGAAATGTTCTTTAATTAAAAAAAAAAAAAAAAAAAGTTAAAAAATTAAAAAAAGTCAAAAAATTATTATTTTATTTAAATCATATCAATTTATTTAAGTAATATCATCTTTTTATTATATCACTTCAAATTCAATTTATACCCAACTCATATTTTATAAAAAGTCAAAAAATACATTTATTTAAATTATCTCAAACTATCCCTTATCTTTAATATGTCTTCTTATATTTTTTTATGGAAAATTTACCCATTAGTCCTAGTTTCTGAAAAGTTGAACCATTTAGTCCTAAAAGTTTTCTTATGCTCCATTTAGTCCCATTTGCACATCAATCTAATGTTTGAAACATTAATTTAATGTTCAAAACATTAATCTGATGTTCGAAATCTAATGTTCGAAATATTAATCTGATGTTTGAAACATTGTAATGGGACCTTTCAGTCTATAAGAAAACTTTTAGAACTAAACAGTGTATAAGTTATTAATATCATTTTTTTATTATATCACTTCAAATTCAATTTATACCCAACTCATATTTTATAAAAAGTTCAAAAATACATTTACTTAAATTATCTCAAACTATCCCTTATCATTATTTAATATGTCTTCTTATATTTTTTTATTTACTTAATATAATACATCACTTATTTATCTTTTTTTTTATCAATTATAATATTATAAAATATCACGTATTTATATCCTAAAATTACTAAATAATCACCGATTTCTTGCTATAATTACATCAAACTACAAACAACACCGATTTCTTGCTATATCTACATCAAACTACAAACAAACACTCCTTTCTCTCTCTCCATCAACACAAAACACAGTCCAGTCACTTCTCCTTTTTCCTCCCAACATCCAAGCCGTGTAATTTGGCTTTCCCCCTCTCTCTCTCTCTCCTATTACATTTACACATTCCATTTCTAGTCTGACCATTCCTTCACATGATTTCGCTTTCCCCATTCAATTCCTCTTGAATGCTCTCTCTCTATCGATCTTCTCAACAACGACAATCGATCACGCATTAAAACCCACACACGACAGATAGAGACACATCAAGTCCTTCACCAACGAAAATGAACGCTTGGGAGAGATCGCAGCGCGAAGAAGACCGACAACACCATCAACACCGGAGAAAAACGCCCTCGTTTTCTTCGTCTCTCCTCGACGCCATTTACCGCTCCATCGACGACTCCAAATGCGAAGAAGAACAAGAAGCCGGCGAAGAGGCGGTTCTCTACAGAGACACAACCGCCACCAGGACGAAGAAACAGAGGAGTAGTAACAATGCTAACTTAGTCAAGCGAAACAATGCTCTTCTTGACGACGAGGAAAGTCTCCGGCGAGCTATCATGATCGAGAAATGGATGGAGAGTGAGAATCGAACTCGAACTCGAACTGAAGTTACTCGAGGTTCTAGAATGTACAATTCGACTTCGAGCTCCTCCGATTCTAGCTGCGGAGGCGTGTTTTCGTCTTCCGAAACAGAGTCCGGTTACAGAGAACGATCCAAATCGGCGAGTTTTACAGTGCAGAGGCCAAAACAAGTTCGGAGCTGTGGTGGTGGTGGTGGTTGTGGTGGTTCGGTTAGGTCGGAGTTCGAGCAAACGCCGAAGCGCGAAGGGAGGCTTACGAGGACGAAATCGAAAGCTCTGAAGATCTACGGCGATCTGAAGAAGGTGAAGCAGCCGATCTCTCCAGGCCGTCGGATCACGAATTTCCTCAACTCGATCTTCAATTCGAGGAATGTGAAGAATGCTGCGAAGCGTGAAGCAGCGATGATGATGGAGGATTCGAGTTCAGTGCGGAGATCAAGGTCGGTGAAGGATACGACGACTTGTTCGTTGTCTTCTTCGTTTTCAAGATCATCTTGTTTGAGCAAACCTCCTTCTTCAAGATCCAAATCGAAGAGGTCTGTTAGATTCTACCCTGTCACAGTCATCGTCGACGAAGATTCTCGTCCTTGCGGACACAAATGCATCTACGGAGACGATCCGAGTCTCATGCCAACACCAGTTCTTGGAAAAATCTCCGAGACTACAACGATGAAGAACAAAAATGCATATAAATTGAGAGATTTTCAGGATGATATTGATGATGAGGAGGAGGAAGATGAAGATGACTGTATGAGTTGTGCGAGCTCTGATCTGTTTGAGCTGGACAACATTGGTGCGATTGGGGTTGGAGCGTACAGAGAAGAGCTTCCGGTGTACGGAACGACGAGTCTGAAAACACATCATCATCATCTCGCCATTGCCAAGGGTTTAATTCGCTAGTTCAAAAAGGTTTCTATGGCTGTTGTTGCTCAGCTGAGTTTCTCTTCTCTGTGTAATTGTTGATGTCGTCATGTGGAAGATGCAGATAACGATTAATCATTTTCTTCATCTCAAAAGTCTTCTAGATTTGGATTTTATTAATTATTATTTTTAATCTTTCTCACTTCACTGCCTTTGAAATATAAATTTGGGAGGAAGAGGAGAACGAAGACTAGTGGTGCTATACAAAATAACAATTATTAACAGACATTATGGTGAGAGGCTGATTTGTGTGGAAACAGGATTCAATAAAAATTTTATTCAAAAATATAATTTATTAAAAAATTTGTTCACAATAAAATTACTAATATAGTTTTTAATTTTAATATTGTTATGGTCGTATAATTCAAGTACTTTTTCTTACAATTTTTTATTAGAAAATGAAAAAAAATATATTTAGCTTTCTTTGTTTGAAATTGTTTCTCATAATTCGTTTGGACGTTGTGAATTTTTTGACTATTTTAATTCAAGGATTAAAAGTTTCGTTTGTGATAAATTTTTAAGTTTTTTAAATTTTTATAAAAAAATAAATAAAATAATTATGATTTAAATATGATAATTTATTTTATTAAATTTAAAATTTTATTTTATTTTATTTTTTATAATTGTTTTAATTAAAAAAATTACATTTTAACTTGTAACAAACGAATGTGTAATTGTTCTTTGTTGTTCAATGATATGGACACATCATTAAAGCTGTTTGAAAACTTAAAATTGAAAACTTTCCCACAGTACATGGTTTGTCCTTGTTTTTCCTCAATTAAGTTGTGACATGTATTTGAGACAATCATGTACCATTTTTTTTAAGAATAATGTTTGAGAGTTTGAAAATGAATTCCTTAATCTCCCAATGTCCAAAATGACGTCGTTTTAGGTATTAGGTTTTTTTTTTTTTTTTCCTCGCAGCAGCTTATCGCAGCGTCACCCGGCGTCGCCTCGCCCGATCGTCGTCTCCGGCAGCCCCCGCCTCTGCCTCGCCTCCGCCTCCTCCTCCCACTGTAATTAGGGCCCCCTCCAGTCCTCCTCCTCCTTCTCCTCCTCCTTCTCCTTCCTTCTCTTCTCCTTCTTCCTTCTTCATCTTCTTCGTTTCTGATTGAACTAGAAAAAAAAAAAAAATGCAAAAACCACATCGAAATGGAATTCGGGCCATTCGGGGGAGTTCAGATTCGAGCTCCCTAGCACGACCCTTTTTTTAAAACGATTTAATATCTAAGGTCCGAGTTTGAGTCTCTTTAGTCCCTTTTAGAAAGTGGATTATAATTCACTTCTCGAATTATAATTTATTTTCTCTTTCACAAAAAAGTTGCTTAGGTCATTTCCAATGGTTTACTAAATCTAACATCAAATTCAAATTTGATGAAAAAAAAGTTACTTTTTGTGTTCCAACAGTTGCACCAAAACAGTATCAAATTGAGAAAATATCAAACGTTTTACCAAACTGAGGACGGGTTGGTCCTTTCACCAATTCACTGTGCATAGCCGTTAAAGCAGAAATTTGTGAAAATTTAACACATGATAGTTGACCACCTGGTTGACCAACCGGTCGACCAGCTCATGCAAATGGTTCAACAATTGGCCTATGAACTGGTTCAAATGGTTCAAATTACTGGTTCAAACGGTTTAAAAAAAATTTGAACCAACGGTTAGGTAGGTTCAAATAGTTCAAAAAGGTTAAAAAAAAAAAAAAAATTGCCTTACCGGTCGACCGACCGGTTGACCCACGGGATGATTCTTTTTTTTAATGTACCGTTGGAGTAACTGATATCAGATTAATAAAATGAGCCATTTTTTACTCAAATTTGGTGAAAAAAATACTAAACCGTTGGAGATGCTCTTATAAGCAGTTTTTAATTAAAAAACTGATTATAACCATCTTTCCAAAATAACCCTTAGTTCGAAAGATTATTGGATGTTCTTGGTGGTGTTTTGGAAGCTTAAAAAAAAAAAATTAATTTTTTGACTTTTTAATTTTTTCATATAAAAAAGTCACAGAAAAGTTAATTTTTTTAACACAAAAAAGTCAAAAAATCACAAAAAATTAAAAAATTAACTTTTTACTAACTTTTCAAAATACTACTTAATGTCAAGATTTTAATATTAGTTGTGTTGCGTATAAATTGATTTGAATATTGAGTTATCAAAAAGTTATGTAATTTTTTTTTTTAAGAGGGTGGTTTGGTTTGGTTTGGTTTGGTTACACTACAAGAAAATGCATGTTTGGCGACTAAAATTGACGACCAAACTAATTTTAGTCGCCAAAAACATTAGATTGTGCGACTAAAGACCTGATTTAGTCGGCATTAATTGAATCTTTTAGCTACTAAATTATTTTAGTCGCCATATAATCTTATTGGCGACCAAATTTATCTTTAGTCGCTGTTTGTTACCATTTTAGGCTACTAAAATTTGATTTTGTCGCCGTATAATTTCATTTTGCGACAAAAAATTTAGTAGCTAAAGATGTGAGTTAAACGAATTAATGTACCGTTTGGGCGACTAATATGTTAGTCACTAATGTTAGTTATCAGCGACTAAGACTCTTTTCGTCGCTAATACCCGTTACTTTTGCCTACTAAAACGTTAGTCGGTATTTTGTACTACTTTTGGTGACTAAAAAACATTTAGTTGCTAATACCTTCGGCGACGATGTATCCTCGACAAAGCCAACGACCAAAATATTTAGTCAGCAAAGTGTTTTGGCTACTAAAATCAATACTTTTGGCGACTAATTTTTTAGTCGCCAAAAGTGTATTTTCTTGTAGTGTTATCAAGATTTTGTGAACATTAAAGTAGATGTGTGACAATATTAGAAATGATAGAATTAAGAATGAGTATATTCGAGAATGGATAAGAGTAGTACGGTAGAATATAAGTTGAGAGAGAATAAATTGAGATGATTTGATCATATACAACGGAGACCAACAGAGACAGTGATGAAGAGATACGATGCCGTGACGATAGATGAAAGTGTTAGGAGAATAGGTAAACATATATTGATGTGGGCTAGTATAGTAAATAGATATATGAATTTCTTTAATTTGACTAACAAAATGACCTTATATAGAGTCAAGTGAAGAATAATGATTCATATAACTGATCCCACTTGATGGGATTTAATGCTTGATTTGGTTTGGTTTGGTTTGGTTTGGTTAGAATATATTAGGACAAGTATGCTAGATTATTGGGAAAGACTATGGTACATACCCATATGTACCTTACAATTATAGAAGAAGATGACATAATTCTATACTTTTTGAGTCATAATTTTAAAAAAAAAATCATAATCAAACACAAAAAAATCATAACTAAATATCTCAAAATAATGTTATAACTAAAGAAGAAAATTGATCATAATTAAAAAAGAAAATAACGTAACTAAGGATGCATATAGTATGGGGGTAGGGTGGGCATCACCCCATTGGCTCACCTAGTCCAATCTTACGTTTTTAAAGGCTTGAGAATATTATTTTAGCCCATAAAACTAGGCTGAGTTGATATTTTCAGCTCGATTAATTAATGGACTGGGTTTGGGAAATATATTTTCGGCCTAACCCATATTTAATTAAATTAACGAATTTATATAATATATATTATATATACCATTTTATTGTTAGTCATGTGATTTGTAAAATATTCAAGTGATCACTGTTTTGGTTAAGACATTTACAAAAAAATATTTGAAGAAATTTGAAGTTTAAATTATGATTTTCATTTATTTATTTTTTATAAGTTTGATGCGTTACTAACAATTTAGGTTAAAAAACTTTTAACTTCTGGAATTATGTGTGTGTTTGGTTTAAAAAAAAACTTCTAATGTTTTAATTAATATGGCATTAAATCTTTAATGGTTAGTTGCTTTATAAGCCTTTGTCTATTTATGAATAAACAACAAGTATCATGATGTTTAATTTTTTTCATAGCTTATGTATATGGCCCAATGAACGAGTTTGAGAATTATAATTTATTTAGAGTTGAACTTAACTTGATTATATAGGCCCCATGTTCGGGTTAGGTATTATTAGGTAGTGCTGACCCTGCCCGATAATGACCACCCCTATAAGAGTTTGTATATAATAAAAGTCTCCTAAATTATTATGTTATTGTTAGAGTAACGTTTCTCTTTTAGCCTCTAATATTTGTGGGTGACTAAAAAGAGTGAATGTGAAAAGTTAAACCAAGAGTGTGAATACAATTTTTCTATCGGTACATAAATTAGTTATAAAATCAAACACAAACTCACAATAAAAAATAAAATAAAAATAAAACTCACTTTATTTAAAAAAACTATTTTCTATTTTATAATTGATTTATTTGTTTTTAATTTTTTTATTTAAAATTAGATAACGAATTATTAAATAAGCTAATAATGAGGGTGTATATGCCTTGAAGGTGAAGCATAAATAATTTGATTTGGCTTTTAGTAAGCAGCTTTTGAAGAGCAGGCCAAAGGCGCCAACCCTTATTCACACCCTTCATAGTGTGGGAATTTTGTTTGATATTTTAATAACGGAAGCAATGGGAGAATGAGAATCTCAACATGCAAGCCTCATTTGAGTGCACGAGTCTATCCAATCTCTTGCTTTTCTTTGGACCCACCCACCACAACTAAAAGAAGTCTACATTTTGGTGTTAGACATGGTTAAAATTCCGTTTATTGATTTATTGAATTTTTTTTTGAATGATATTATTTTTATATTTAATTTTTATCCATATCTTTTAAAAAATTAAAATGTTAATTTTTAACTGGCTTTTCAAAATAGGCCATTTTAAGAGTAGAAACATTAATTTGTGCATTGCAAAGTGACAAGGTAGAGAAAACATATAAGGGTAATGTTATATAAGGGGTGATTTAGAAAGTTGGTTAAAAATTGACTTTTTAACCTCTTTTTTTTTTTGACTTTTTTTCTCTTTTTGTACGTAAAAAATGTGAAAAGTAATGTGACTCAAAATAAATTAAAAGC